AGCCATGGTACACTACATGGATTCCACAAGTCGTAGCTGCTAAAGATTTCTCAAATGAAACTCTGGGTGCTTGTTTAAGATCACACAAGATATTTCATTGGCCACAAACAAATCGATGCTATTACTTAGGTTGGATGCACAAGTATCTCCTTGTGAAGATCCCTTTTAAGAAAGCAATTTAACATCCATCTTATCAAATTGTAATGGTGGAGCCGTGGCAACTGCTAGTAAAATCCGAAGTGTGGTCATTTAGCAACAAGATCAAAGGTCTCTTCATGGCTTATCTCATACTCTGATTAGTAGACCTTAAATACCAAATGATCTTTATACCTTCCGATCGACCCATATGATGTGGCCCTCACCTTATCAACCCACTAAATGGATGCCCATTAACAGGAAGTATAATTGAAGCCCGTCTACTATTGTAACACCCTGATTTGCTCTTGTAAGACTTTTTGTCAATTAGTCATTATTTTCCCCATTCATTTTATGATAAAAGGTTCGAGATCAGAAGAAAGAGATGTAGCAGAAGTAGATTTAAAACTAGAAAAGGCATCATAAAAATAGCTATCATGTACAGAAGAAATATAACATGCGTGACGAGCAACCCCATTGGCTAACAATACTCAATGTCACTCTTTATGGTCTCCAATGAACTTATCAAACAATGCCTTATATCACTCTTTGAATTGCCAATTTTTCTTTTTAAAGTTGTAGTAAATTAAAACCAGAAATGATCCAATGCAATGTGGACACATGCTTACAAAAGTCAATTACCTTGGGCGCCATGAAATGTCATCTAAATCAATCTAGTTCAAAGTTATGTCACAAATGTATGGAGTCTGCCATATGGATAAGTGGCAGCTCAGGATGTGGTTCAAGATAGCGTTTAAGTCATCTTCAAATGCTCTTCTGAGACATCCATAACGATTTGCTTTTCTGGAAATGCTTCACTTGGCTGAGTTAGTAATGATCTTTCGAACAAAGGAGTATTCTTTGTGGGCACATCTGGGACACATGAGCTAAGAGAGTTCTTAATGAAGAATATGCTCTGTTAGTAGGTAGCAAGGATTGACAACCATCAAATCATCATTGTCTCTAGTACTTGTATGTTACTTGTCGAGATGCACATGTTGAGTAGACCCTCATAACTGTAGTATTCCCTTGTACTCAGTGAAGGAATCCTATTTGCTGTTGTATCGTTCCATTGCACAAGGCAACATGATTAAGTCACCAAGTGATTCTGGATATCTTGAGTTCTCTATGTTCACAGTTTGTTTGTCAGACAACCCTCAACCTATGTTTCATTCTCCCATGTCAGGAGTTCCGATAAATTGTAAGCATAGAAGCCTAAAATACCACTCAGAGAAGTGAGAAAATTCTTACTGGCTAAGCTATGGGAAAGCTCACTACATAGTTCCTTCCTTGATATCCTGTCCTCCTCAATGTTGGAGTTCATACCTTCCCTCAAGCCCTCTAGTTGTTGCACAAGGACAGTCTGAAAATGAGTGAGGGTCTTTGAACATGATACCCAAATGAGTTGGTAGAATATTCATTTCATCGAGTCTTAGTCAGTTATTGCCCCTACATTCTCTTCTTAGGTAATGGTGGCAGGCAAGGGTTCCTGGAATCTGAAACCTATAAGTTAACTTAATTTTCTTGATATATGAGCAATGCCGTGTACAAAATGTGGAATTATCGAGATTAACCCAAAGAAAACAAAAAATAAACAAAAAAAGGTCTATTAAGGGGAATAACCTATAACCAATTCTTGCCTATGCATTCCCACTTTAGCTAGCTACTCAGTTAAAATATTTGCTTCTCTCCAAGAATGCATAAACTTACTTGAGTACCTGTACATTTGTCTAAAAAGTCATCAAATCTCCATGGAAAAAAGATTGTCTCCACCCATGCAAGAACATTTGAACAGTCACCTTCAAGGCTTGAATAGTTACAGATGTCCACCTTGGGTTCAAAGAGCCAATTGCTAGTAGCAACACTAGAGCCTTAGCTTCATTACAGTCAGTTCATCCTGCTGGTTCTGAGGAAATGAGTAAGATTTTTGTGTCATCAGAAAATGCCCCAAACATTGGTTGGGCCAGGTTTCCTGCTGAACTACCATCAAGATTAAATTTGATAGTTCCGGGGTTCCAGTTGCTTGGTTGCTTTGTTTATGGTATATAGGACCAAGCTAACAAATGCCAGTGATTGAGAAAGTCTGTTTTTGTGGTTCTTAGAATTCTTTTTTGATGATTGCCCATGATATAGTTTTAGCCTTTATACCCTACTTGATGCTCAAGTTGGTGACATAATAGACGAACGACAGTGAGTGGCCGTTATCAATGTAATGCAGCCTCCAAGAAACAGGAGATTACTTTTCCATGCAGCAAGTCTTCTTTGGCATCATTCTGTGACATTGCCCCACAGAAACTTTCGAGGTTTTCCTTTGCATAAAGGAAGACCCAAATACTCGGTAGCATACCAGCCATCCAATTCAATTTGCCATTGTCCAAACCTCTATTGGTCTACATCCACCCCCATCAAAGTAGCCTTCTGCATATTAATGGGCAGTGTTTCAAAAAGCTGCCCTGCCTAGGGGTGAAAATGCCCCTCGTTGAGGAGAATTTTTCATCTTTTTTACCCCTAAATAAGGAGAAAAAGGGGGGTTAGGTTATTGTGTGACCTAAACCCCTTTGTTTACCTTTAGAATGAAAATGTTTTTAACAATAATCACTTTTTTACATTTCTAAGACTTTGATCGGGTATTTCAGAGTTTTGAAAAATCGATCCAAACATCGTCTTTTTGGTTTAGATTTAATTTTGATGATTTTTTAAGCTTATTAGAGGCTTTTTGGGAAGTATTTGGAAGGTTACTTAAAAATCTTCATAATTGAGATTTTATTTGTTATTTGAATGTTTTCTTTGGGTTCTTTTGGAAATGATGATCCGGGTTGGAAGTATGATTATAACCCAAATTCAAATGACAAAATGGCATTATATGTAATTTTGGTGAAAATATATACTAACGAGGGTATAAACCCGTTCAAAAAACACCTTGCTGGTATGAGGGGGAATGTTGTCCCTTGAAAAAATGTTCTTGAAGCTATCAGACAGGAGATTAAGCAATATACGAGTTCGATAAAATACAAACATGAACAAAAGTCTTATCATTTGATAAGTCTATTTTTGATTCTTCTAGAAGTGGTGATCTGGGATGGAAGTATAGTTATAACCCAAAACCAAATGATAAAAATTGTGTAAGGTGTAATTTTTGTGGAAAAAGATACCAATGGGGGTATTAATCGATTCAAGAAACACCTAGCTGGTATTAAAGGGAATGTTGCTTCTTATAAAAAGGTTCTTGGAGCTATTAGGGATGAGATTAGACAATATTTGAATTTAATAAAACCAGAAAAGGAAGAACATGAGCCTTGTTATATGGAAATATCTTCTCCAGTTTCTCCTAGAAGTGGTGATTCAGATTGGAAGTACGAGCATAACTTGAATTCGAATGACAAAATTGTATAAGAGGGTATTTATTGTTTCAAGAAACACCTTGTCGATATTAAGAGGGACGTTGTCCTGTGTAAATGTTCCTAAGGCTATCAAGAAGGAGATTAAGCAATATTTGAATTCAGTGAAACACAAAAAGCAAGAAAAGGGTGAAGAGGCACTAGGTAGAGTGGCCAAGGCTCCTAAGGCCTCATTTGCACAGATATAGAGAGGGGTAGAAGAAGAGGAGGAAGAGGTAGATTTAGAAGAAATGGAGGAGGATAGGCGTTATGTTGAAGAGGGAGATGATTCGAATGATGATGGCCTCGACTCCAATGCATATGATGAGGCTTACCCTACTTTTTTTTATGATGACTGAAGACACTTTGAGTCTTAGATTGTATATTTTTTTTTTCTTAATTTTTAGTTTCTACTGATCTACTCTTATGTGTATGCATTAATGATTGTATCATTGTATGGAAGTATAGATTATGGAATGATATGAACTATGAAGCATGGAGTATGATACTCCATGTATTGCTAATTTATTGATTATATATATATATATATATATATATATATTTTGGTTGTGCTAGTAGTCTATCTATTACAAATTTATGCTAGTTTGGAACTTTTTGGATTATGGGATTTTTAATATTTTGTGATGTATACTCATATTCTCTTGCCCCCTGCCTGTCTTCTTGAACCTAGGTTCTGGGCGGCAGCTTAGGCGCTGGGTGGCCAGGACCCCCCGGCTGCCTAAGCACCCCCCGGTGTTTTTTGGAACACTAAGATGTCAAACAGCAAGCTCAAAACATCTCACCTACTTGTTGTCCACTATGTGTCTCATAAGATCATGGTGTTGTGAGCACATTGTGATGAGGTATTACCGGCCCACTTGACACTGCCGCAAAGCCCCGTAAAATTACAGGTTTTTGGACCCTTTCCATCATCCAACTGAAAGCGTGCTCTATAATGGTGAAGAGCTAGGGTGATAATGGATCCCTTTGCCTTGTACCTTTACTGCTTGGAAAAGAACAACATGGGGTACCATTTAGTATAATTGAGAATTAGGCTGAACATTCACAGGCATGAATCCAACTTGGTATTTCTCTTCTCTTGAATTGGTCAAGTATGCCGCACTGGACAATATCGTAAGCTCTAAAAGTCATTCCACTGACAAAATGGAATGAATTATAAAAATCTCTTATAATAATTGTATATGGTACAAAATATTGAACTAGATCAGAAAAACTACTTGGATCCTTGGCTATGTTATTAGCCTTGCAGTTAGGACACAACAAGACAAGACGGGTAAATCATGAGTTGATACCAAGATCAGGTATATCGGATTGAACTGATGAAAACCTCTGAAGAAGTGGTTAGCTATACTTCGTAAAATGCTCTTGCATAACACTGGGTTTCTGAAACTTTACTCATGTCCATGCTGAAAATTGTGACTTTGTGTTATACTTTCTCATTTGCACATTTTTCTGATTTTGGTGCAGTAGTGGCATTAGCTTGAGCCAGTGTGGTTTACAGCCAGTGTGGTCTGTAAACCACAGTATAAAAGTAGTGGATTTCAAGATATGGAATTGAAGAGAAATAACACAAATCATGATGTCAATGATGCGGAACGCAGTTCTCCACCTCTGGGAGTTCTGATGTGGGTGAAAATACATGATGGTTTATGGTGGCCTGCACAGGTACACAAACTATCTCTTGCACATTTGATGAGCTTATACGAGCTCTATTACCACTCATGCTTGATCTTTAACTGGTGTTAAATAACATGACATACATATGTGTTATGTGGAAGACGGGTTCTAATATTTATTAATATAGAGACCCCATCCTAATTACTCAAGCTATCAGACGGGTTCTAATGTTCATTAATATATACACCCAAGCTATCAGATGGGTTCTAATGTTCATATCAGATTTCAGTTAACATATTTCCCAAAAAAAAAAAGAAAATCTTCAAGACTTGATGAATGGAGTCATCATTCTCTGTGAATTTGATTTGCTTATCAGGTTGTAGATGATAAGATGGTATGCGATAGCAATAAACTCAATGACATAATAGAGGGTGGATTTCTTGTGCGGCTCTATGGAAGCTATGACCAGTCTGTGTTCCTATCTGATAGATATTAAGCATTTCTATATGATTTACTGTTTTACATCTTCCTACTTACTGATGATCTAGTTCATGGTTCCTGCAGCTTATGGGTGGATCCGATGATTGATCGATCTGAGTTTGAAGATGTTAGTGTCAATGAGTAGAAAATACTTTTTTTGATGTCTTGATACTCCTAATTCATACATCTTTTATCCTCCAACTTTCTTTTATTTAACAATCCACCCATGCTTCTTGTCTGCCACACCATCCAGATTGTTAAGCAAAACAATTACAGTGAAAAGGAGACCTTCAGAAAAGTTTTAGAGCTGGTAGGTATCTTGTTTTTTGGTGCAATAGGTTGCGGTACAAGATTCTTTCACATATGGAGCGTGGAATATCGAATAAAAATTAATTGATGCTGTACCATGCTCCGTACCATGATTTAGGACATTGCTGAAACCAAAGCTGGTGATAAGTCTAAACGGAAACCTGCCCAATCTAAAGGTTTGTTATTTGATTCAACCGTGTCATTTTAGGCTTTGTTCCTCTGTTACATCGTAATTCCTTTTATTTTCTTCATGTAGATTTATAAAGGATATGTTAATAATAAGGATTGTATACAATATGACCATTTGACTTTGGTACAAGGAAGTCACAATTACTTATAATAATCCGATATGAAATCTGATAGCTTGGGTGTATTACAAACTTCGAGAACATTTCTTATGAACTTTGAGCTTGGTCAATGGAATAAATGCAAGCACCGAATTTTACATCCAATGGTCAATATTAATTGTGACCACCTTGTACGAAAGTGAATGGTCTCATTGTATATTTTTCCTTAATAATATATGTTGTTCCATGGCACCATAATTGTAATTATTACCATGTGGAACTAGTCACTCATGAATTCTAGATATGTCAAGAGAGATTATGTAGAATAATTGAAAGAAGGGAAAGAGTATGGGCTTCAATGACATAAATTAGCTTTAGTTTCCAAGAATTTGATTAGGCACTTTCATGGCTTGCTATTTTATACGACATGCAATTTAAAACTTTTTCCGTTGTCTTGTTATAAAACTTTTTCCGTTGTCATGGTAGTGAATATGCTTTCAAGGTCTATGCATGTGCACTCTTTCATGGTAATCTTATCTTTGTTATGTAATTTGTGCCTTCGTTCATTCTCTCTCACTCAGAATTTTCTTGAATTATTAATATGTATGTTTGTGTATTCATAAATGGTGAAAGCCTCCAATTTGGTTCTGTTTTGCATTTGTTTGATGACAAGATCCCAGCCCTGCCACATTATAGTGCACCATGGTATCAAGACAATTGCTTTATTGATATGGTAAATGACTTTGTGTGTGTGTGTGTGTGTGTGAGAGAGAGAGAGAGAGAGAGAGAGAGAGAGAGAGAGAGAGAGAGAGAGAGAGAGAGAGAGAGAGAGAGAGAGAGAGAGAGAGTAGAGAGTAGTAGTAGTACGTAGTACGTAGTAGTACGTAGTACGTACGTACGTACGTACGTACGTACGTACGTACGTACGTACGTACGTACGTACGTACGT